AACCCTCTGTTATAACTAAAAACCCGTATTCGTTTATTTATATATCAATTTAATTTAACATCGTTCCACCTATCTTGTTTAAAACCTTTCAAAGATATGTTTATTGAACCGAGGAAAACTTCGGATATATCCTAAATTCAAATAAAAAGTTTGGTTTAAGTTCGAAATTATTATTCATTAAATGCTCTAAAAAGATTATGCATTTTCATTTATTATTTTTATTTATTTTTTTTAATTTCTTTTCTGAGCTTTTTATACAATCGTTTGAAAATTTACAATTTTTTTTTTTTTTTTTTTTTTATTATTATTTATTTTTATTTATTGTCATTGTTCGACCATCGCGTCTCCCTCTCATCTCATAGATTGTATTGGTGCCTCTGTGAGGCAACTGTTGAATGAGGGGAGGACAGTTTACGATCTATTGATGCAGCATGATCTACTGGACTTGGTTTAGGATTCTAAATCAAGGGGATAAGCAACAACAACAACAACACTATAGTTTTCATTAAAAGTGGGATATCCTTGTTTAGAGTTCAATTGCACTAAAAAGATTTTTTAATTTGACAGTTATTTTCATTGTTTTAAAAAAATGTATATTCCCTAATGTAGACTACTTTTTTTTTCCTACGAAAATAAATTATTTATCGGTTAATTCATTTGATTTAAATGGAATAAATTAAAATATTTGGCCTACATTTGTTTATCTTTTTATTATTATTAAAATATAATAAATATGTATAACTCAATAAATTAAATTTTATTTTATCTAATATATATAATAATGATCTTTTTATTATTTATTTTTGATTGAATAAAATTTTTTTTAAAAACATTCGAATTTAGAATAGTTTTTGTGGCGAAACGGAATGAATTAAATGATGCCACAATTGAAGGTTCTGTTACAGGAATCGTCTGCTTTCTTTATTTCGTAAAATGTGTGTTCTTTATCTGCAATACTTTGGCATTCACCAATTGAAATGCTAACTGAAAAAAAAGTTTTAAAAGGTAAAGGTTTATTGTAAAGGCAGAGAAATTTTGAAATAGGTCGTCGTCGTTCAGGATGCAGAGTACCTTGGCCATATGCGGCCTTTACTCCAAATCTGGTACTATAAGAGTCATTAATAAAAACAAGACATTATATACAAGAAAAGGCAGTGGGCAATGGTCATGTCCAATTAGAAGTAAAAAGAAGCATTGTAAAGAAGTAAAAAGAAGCATTGTGAACAATGGAAAATAAAAACACAAGAGAAGATTAAACAGCGAAATTGAAGCATTTTGCGATGATTTGGAATTTTTCCATGGGAGATTTTGCGCTTTTCAGTTGATTATAGAAATTGTCAATGTCGCCTAACATATCGAGGATGCTGGACACTTCTTGGAATACATAGGCAGTTTTAGCGGCCTTGTCAGGATCAACATTATCCCAGATATTTGGACGTTCCGGAATCACGGATGGAGTAGCCGGCGGCGGCCCGTGCAAGAAACTTGCATAAGAGACACCGGGCGTGACTGTACGGCTGACGAACGTGCTCCTGGGCAGTGCGATTGGGCACTGGCGGAAGGCATTGAGCGGAAGGCATTTTGAAATAGGAAATCCATGTTCATTATTTTTTATTTTTTTTTTTTATTTATTTAAGTGATAAGATAAATACTATAACTAAAAATCCATACTCTTTTATTTATATATCAATTTAACATCGTTCCATCGATCTTGTTTAAAATTTTTCAAAGATACGTTTATTGAGCCAAGAGAAATTTTAAAACTATTATTCGGATAAAATAAAAATTTTATTTCAAATAAAAATTTTTGTTAATATTTGAAATTATTATTCATTAAATGCTCTAAGGAGATGATGCATTTTCATTTAGTTTTTTTTTTATTTATTATTAATTTTTTTAAAATTTCTTTGTGTTTTTTAATTAAGTTTCTGTCTCGTGCTTTTTATAAAATCGTTTGGAAATTTACAGCTTTTTTTTTTTTTTTTTTTTTTTAATATATAATATATTGAAGTGTAAATTGAATTAATGATGTAATATTTAATTAATTAATGTTTTTGCATGCATTTAAAGTTAGCGTTGTCAACAATTCCGATAGTTTTAGACGACGATTGAGAAGAATGTTATGAAAACTTTATTTTATAATGAAAAGTTCAGTAAATTACCCTAATAAGAACTTTTTATAAATTCTTGGTTATGCACTACGCACCACCATATAAACCACCTTGGTTATGCACCACCATATAAAAAATAAAAAATTTAGTAAACACAAATTGGACTTCCAGGCGTAATGGTTATAGTAAGAAAAGCAGATAAAGAGACAAATTTTAACAACAGACAAAGAATATTTACCTGTTAACTTTTTGAATATTTAATTTTTAACTATGAATATTAAAATACCATCTATATATACTAAAATATATTCTAAATTCAAATAAAAAAAATTTGTTAAAGTTTGAAATTATTTTTTATTAAATGCTCTAAAAAAAAGATGAATTTTTATCTATTTATTTAATTTCTTTCATGTGCTTTTTTATTAAATTTCATTCCCGTGCTTCTTATAAAATCTTTTGGAAATTTAATTTTTTTTATTTTTTCAATTCCTTCTATTAGCTCACACTCTCCCTATATATATCTTGTTCAAATTTTCAATCATTCATAAAACCCTTTTTATTCCTCCACTCAACTTCAAATACATTTTTTTGAACTTGTAGTGGATGACACTTGATGTTAATACAGTTTTTTCAAATATTAATTCAGTAATTAAATTTAATTAATTAATTTTAGTTTTTTTTTAGATTTAAATTGCATATATCTATCAATAGATGGCGCCAGATAAACTTAAAAAAATGAATGAAAATTACTTATAAAGGACTTTCTGCAATATAGTGGAAAAAAAAGTAGGAATTGACTTTAAAATTTTTTTTTATATATTACTTGTTACATATTGAGTTGAAAATTGTAAATTGAATTTTTGATTCAATTTACAATCAAACTAATTTAATGTTTCAATTTACAATTCGTTTCAAATATATTACAGTTAAAATATTCTTTTATATCTAAATATGAAGCAAGACATTTGTTTGTCTGTCTATATTTCCTAAAATAACAAACTATATCACAACTAGAAATATATTACTTATAAGTATGTTAAAACTGTATCATTTTTTTTTCTGAATACATTTTTTTTTTATCTGGTACATAATCAAAAGTCGTATCATTGATAAAATTTTTATAAATTACTTTTTAATTAAAAAGTCTTACTTTTTTATAGTTTATGTTACCCAATAGCACCAGTCATTTTTATTGTTAAAAAGAATTACGAATGGGAAATTAAGCCGCAATATTTCGTATATTTTTATTTACCTTGTGATTTATACTTTATATATATACACACATCTCACCTAATGCCATTTGAATACTTCCCTTCTAGTCCTCTCTACTATTAATTAGATATTTTTCACACATGATTGAGACTGTTTTTGAATTTATGGTTTTTATATTCAAGTGCTGAAGTCTACTAGCCGTTCATTATTATCATGACTTTAACCAATTTATTTCTTCGATTTGTAAATACTTCGTATTTAAAATTTTAAATATTTTATTTTTTCACATGTGTGGAAACTAAAAGTGTTTTTATTTTCTTTTACTAGGCAATACTGTGTAATATCTGCCAGTTTCTTTTGTTTTTTTTTAATATAATCCAAAAGATTTGTCTCTCTATGTGGTTTTTTTTTTTTTTTTTTTTACTATAATCATTATACTTGGAAGTCCAAATTTATTATTTTTCATCTGGTGCATAACCAAAAAGTTATTAGGGTGGTTTACTCAACTTTTCATTGTAAAATAAGAGTTTTCATAACTTTCTGCTCTATTAAAAATACAGGAAATGTTGACAAGGTTAGCTTTAAAGGCATGCAAAAACATTAATTTATTAAATATTATATGATTAATTATTCAAAAAAAAAAAAAACCTTTGAATTTTTAAATTATTTTACAGAAAACATAAGAAAAAAATTTAATAAAAAAGTACACGAAAGAAATTCAGTAATAAAAATAAAACTATGGAATTCCAAACGATTTTATAAAAAAGCGCGCGAAAGACATTTAATTAAAAAAACGAGAAAGAAATTTAAATAAAACAATGAGAATAGTTCGTGAAGAAATTTATAAAGCAAAATAAATAAACCAATAATAAACGTTGAAAGTGTCAAGGAAACGAAAAAACTGATCAAGGGCACGAAAAATCCCACTACCCAAAACAATACCCATAATTTTAAGGATAAAAATATTTATACTCTTAGATATAATGAATATAGATAAGACTTAAACGCTTATTGGTTCGTTTGACCTTTCTTCGAGAGAGCAAATCGTGTGTTCACTAAATTGATACTATTTTGTTCCATTTTGATTTCAAATTGCTTGCTCCACACTGAATATATATATATATATATATATATATATATTTCATTAGTAAAAGTACTTCAATGCAAAATAGTTTATTTTTCATGTTTGGGCTACAAATACTTCCAGTCCACAACTTTGCTATTTTTTTTTTTTTATCTTCAATTCTGGCAAATTTTTTTTTTTTTTTTTTTTTTTTTTTTTTTTTTAAATGGCAGGCTATAATAAGTAATAAAATAAATTAATAGTTTAAAAAAGCTAAAAAACACGCTGTTAGAGATAATCAAACTAAAAAGTAAAAAATAATTGTTGTTGTTGTTGTTGTTTCTTATCCCACTTGGCTGGCCAAGCCCACGAGCCCATATGGACTCATGATTGAAGGGGAAGGAAGCAGCTTCTGTTGTGATGGAGCACCCGTAGGTAGAAGCCTGACTTTTGCTCCGTGACGCTCTTACAGTCATAGAAGACCGGGACCTACGGCTTAAAGTGGATTCCGAACCACTACAAACATCCATGGCACCGCCGGGATTCGAACCCGAAACCTGTGGCACCGAACGCCAGAGCGCTGGACACTCGGCCATTCAGGTCCCAAATTTGCCAACGGCACGTGGTGTTCCCAGGTGGTCACCCACCCAAGTACTGACCGCGCCCAATGATGCTTAACTTCGGTGATCTAACGAGAACCGGAAAAAATAATTGTTAAGAACATAAGAATAAAATGACTGACGAGAAAATGAATGTCACTGTTCTAAAAGCGTGGAGTGCTCGATATCAATCGTTATAATTTTTCACTAGTTTCATTCTGAAAGGCAGAGTTAGTTTAAAAATGTCATACAAAGCACCCCACGCTTTTAGAACAGTGGCATGTTAAGACATCCGTTAAGACTAGAAATTTCGGTACTTACGTACTAACGGTAAATTGGCGACAGACTTAGCGTTTTTAAGTGTCGCCAATGGAACCCCTGCAGATTTGGCGGTTTTTCAGTGGCGCCAATACAGTAACCCCTGCAGATATGGCGCTTTTTAAGTGGCGGCAATCTTAACGACTGTAGATTTGCTGAGTTTCGCCATATTGTTGTGATACGAAAATGCGTATTTGGGATTTGCCAGAAACGGAGCACGATGCAATTTTATTTTTCCAGGAGCGAAATATTTTACCAAAACAACGAAAATGTCCCGATTCCCATGACATGAAACTTTATTTTGATGAACGTAAGTTTTGGAAATGCAATTTCAGTCAGTGTGCTCATCGTGTGGGATTCCGAAAAGGCAACTGGTTTGAAGGAAGCAGAATTCCATTTCGTACAGGTTTGAGATTCATATACTGCTGGTGCGAGGAGTTGACTTCGATTCAATTTTGTGAAAAGCAACTTGATATATCGGATAAAACTGTTATAGATTGGAAGAATTACATGCGTGAATTATGTGTCTTGGACATGGTGAATAAACCAAAAAAAAAAAGGTAGGTGGACAAGATTGCATTGTGGAAATTGATGAAAGTTTGTTTACTAAACGTAAAAGTCGTTGTAGTCGGCATTTTTAAATCGTTTTGATTTTAAATGAAGTGTTTTATATATTTTATTGTTTTGATTTTAAATGAAGTGTTTTATATATTTTATTGTTTTGAATAAAAATATTTTGAAAGCGTTTTGATTGTTTTTTAAGTGTGGATTGGCGCCACTTAAAAACCGCCAAATCTGTAACGGCGGTTGGCGCGTTTTCACTAATTGTCGCCAAGGTACCGTTAGTACGTAAGTACCGAAATTTCATTTGATTAAAAAAGTTATTTATAAAAAAATCTGAAGAACTAAATTCAGAATATGCAATTAGAACAGTAAATTGTCTGAAATAAGAACAGAACAATAAACTAAATTAAAAGTATTATATAAGAATTTATTTGTAAAATCCTGTGATGCATATAATACTTTATGAGAAACTGTTAAACTTTTGCAAAATGTTTTGCTTATTTTCATGTGCAAGAGATTCCAAAGAATTATTTATGATTTGAGTAACCAGAACCAGAATTTAATGGAACAGAAATTTTTCCTCACAGCAAAACGTTCGTTAAGACTAGAAATTTTATTTCGTTAAAAAAAATTATGTATAAAAAAATGTAAAAAACTAAATAAATTCAGAATATTCTATTAGAACAGTAAATTGCCTGAAATAAGAACTGAACATTCCGAAATAACAATAAACTTTGTCTGAAATAAATGAAGAACAATAAATTAAATTAAATATATATTGTATTTTACAATGATTTATTTGCGAGATCCTGAAGCAATGCAGGGGGGGATAAGTGCAGCAATACGTCTCTAATACATCAAAACGACTCTAGAACATCCCTAACATTGTATCTCCCAAAAACATGAAAAAAAAATTTTTTTTACAGCTTTTTACTTGCTAATAAATGGCCGAGTGGCTAAAGGCTCGTGCTCACCAAGGCGACAAGATGCAAGCGACCAAAATTTGACCTCACCGCGGTCGCCTGAAACCGGTTTGCAGTCCTCCATTTGGAGTTGCCCAACTTTCAACTCGAAGCGGTTTTTCACTAGGCGTAATGCTATTTCTGACGTTTCGCTGTGAAGGGGTCGAAAAAATTTTGTCTCTTGCATCTTCACGTCTCTCGCCTCGGTGGGAACGAGCCTTTACGCTCTAGCGCTCGGCACCACAGGTTTCAGGTTTGTAGTGGTTTGGAATCTACTTTAAACCGTAGGTCCCGATCGTAGAGCGTTTCTGGGGTATTGTTACTCCGCGTCCGTAGCTTATCTTCAAGCTACACGCACCTCCTGGATAGTGCTATGTGAGTAACGTATGTGCAGCGCTTGCCTTAAGGCATCAAATACACTTGTCTAAGTGTTTGCCAGCTGCATTAGAACAAAAAAAAATACTTGCTAATGAAAGCAAATGTTATAAATTTGAAGTTACTGGTTGCATAATGGTTTGGATATAATCAAAATAAGAATTTCAAAAACAGAACTTATCCCATTAGTTAAATATGAACAAGGATCTATGGTGCGTGGAATCTCCTAGAAATTCCCATTTATTTTTGGCGTCATGGGTCAGTAAATGTATATTTACTTGGTAAACAAAAATATTAAATAAACAATTGAAAATTTCAGATCTACAAAAAAAAAAAAAAAAAAAATCAAAATTCTATCGAGATTAGCAATCATAAGAATATTTATTGCCCTGAATGTTCGATTGTGACTGCTTTACAATTATAAAAAAAGCATTAAAATACTCCCTCAGTCATCAGATTTGAAGCCTATAGAAATATTTCATCAGAATTTGAAAATAAATTCGGAAACACAACATTTCTTCAAAGCAGCAGCTGCAATATATGAAAAAAGAGCAAAACTGGTGCATAATTTAACAAAAAATACTTCAAATCTGTACCAAAATTATTAGAAGGAGTTCGTTAATTTAGTTGATATTCAATCAAACATTAAAATTTGTTTAATAAGCAGCTGAAAAACATTTATAGAACTTAATTGTATAAAAAAAAAAATTTAGTAGCTAACATTTAGTATTCCATCATGTATTATTGTGTTGAAAACAAGTTTATTATAAATAAAAATTAAGTATAACAAAATTTAAATAAAACAAAAATATATTAAAGCTAAATTGCTTCAAAGCAATAAATTTTCAAAATTTTTAATAACTTTTTATTTTATGATTAATATACTATGCAAAAAAAAATTGTGAGGTACTGTATTTTATTAGATAATTAAGGCCAAATTACCGTAAGTAACATTGGCCCTTGTGCATCCCTAGTTTTATTTTACTCTTGTAAATATTATTGAGAAAAATATTCATGAAGTTAGCAAAAGAAAAAAATTTTGTTTCAACATAAAAGGCAACAGTTAGTTTTAAGTGATAGTACATTGAGTACAAGAACCAGAGTGCTTGATATACAATTGAACACGCGATCTACAGGAAGCTTCCATATCTATGTCAAGGATGCAAAAATTTCGAAAAATGAAAAATAAAAATTTGATCTTCAGAAGCGATGGAAATTTGATTAAAGAAAAAGACAAAATAAAACATTCGATTTTTTTTCACTACATATCGTTTTCAATCTAAAGAAGAAAAAAAATTGTTTTTTCATATTCACGGAAGAAAAACATAGTGTGTTACTGATTACATGTAATAAAAGAAATTTCGGTAAAACCGTAGAATAAGGGCCGCTGGAATTTGGCGTGAAAAAATTTTTTGGCCAATTTTGCACCAAGGAAAAGGTTGCGTTTATTAGTGAAGTGAATTGCAAACAGTTTTTTTTCCCCCTCATATTCACCAAAAGAAAATATACCATATTAATGATTGTATGCAATAAAAGAAATGTCTTTTTTTATTCAGAAACTAAACGCCATAGAATTATATTTCCAATAATTTTCTTTGATAACACTATTCAATATTTTCTATTTCCCTTTATACTCTTATTTGTATGTGCGTTTTTTTTAAAAAAAAATCACATTATAATGTTTCCCGATCAATCTCAAATTCAATTTAATTTAAAATTCAATTTAATAAATTAATATTCTACCAATAATTTATATCACACTTTAAAATAAATAAAATTATATGTTGAGTTAGCAGTGTTGCCAACGCCGTAAATAAAAAAGCATTTTATTTACAGCTTCATAAAGGAATTATATACACTAAAGAATCTATTTGTTTATGGTGACACAGTTTGCAACAATCAATATTTGAACTATTTTTTATGATCGATGCGTAATAAATTTTTAACTATTATAAAGAATCTATAAAAATGTTATGGATTTCCCATATTACTGAAATCTAAAAGCAATAACAGTAATGTAAAAAATATTTTCCCAAATGCTTGATAGTCCTCAAGCTGATTGCCATTTTTTATGTTGATGATTCCTGTCATTTCATAAAAGTTATGGATATGTCACAAAAAAATTCTCAAGTGTACAGAGAACTGCTGCTTTTTCTTCCTTAAAATGAAATCGGCTTATAGTTATCTATTCTTTTTATTCCACTGCAGTGCAATTTTTCCATTGACTTCTAAATCAAAAACAAGTACTTTATCGAAATTAGCAAGAGTTATTCTTGTACTCTTCAATGTTACAATTGCAGTGGTTACGTTCATAGCAACTTGGTTTACCATACAACAAATGGGAAACATTGTTTTAAGAATATGCATGATTTTAGTGGGAATTATGATAATTACAATCCGTTGCGTTATTATCCAGAAAATGAACAAATTAAAAAATATCCTCAGAATCCTTGGAAAAATGGAAAATAACAAAAGAAGAGCAAATGATTTATGGATAAAGATTCTTATTACCATCAGTATATTCTGCCAGTTAATAGTGACTGTATGGAGCATCTGTATACCAGAAGAACTTGAAGTGTATGATTATTTGTCTCAATATGGTATAAGTAAGAAGTTAACTTCAATCTTTTTTGAAATTATCACTTCTTATTTTGATTCAATGCCAATCATCACCTTTGTATTTTTTTACATCATTGTCTGCAATAACATCAGAAACATCATCAAATTTATTGGTGAATCTAGATCAGAAAAGGGAACTATAATGTTTGAAAGATTTATTGCTTCTTTTTCCGCAATTAAGACAGTCGTTGACGAAATTGACAAAGAAGTTGGTTTTCTTGTGTTTGCAATCATTGCTTTCAGTTCCAGCTTCACGTGTGTGTCTT